TTATACTGGTACTATTTTTGAAATCTTTCCTTATTTAATTTGTTATACTCTAGCCGTGTATGATTTCTTTCCTTATTTGTCACCTGCCCTTTACCATTCACACTGACTCCCTTAATCAAAGGGAGATTCGAACCAATTTTCTATGCTGAGTTCTATAATTACTAAAGAATTGATTTTTGCCTTATTTTAACTAGTTTTCAAACTGCTATATAAAGGACTCTCTTCTATAGTCTTAACACACGAACACAGTTCAGAACACACACACACACACACTCAAACTCTCTCTTCTTTCTCTACTACTTGTGCTACTACTTGTCTAGTCGGCTGAAAACCAAGGCTAGACTGTGGAACTCTACTTGCTTTACTTTTCTGCACTTTGCTTCCTTAACTGGTATGTTCCTAGTTCAATTATGAAACTAAACTCTATGTGCTCCATTGTTTGTCAATTCCTATCTCTTTCTGCACTGACTTAATGGCTCATGTTGTTTAATTGCCCTTCTTGTTTACCGCTTTATTCAGCATGCTTAAGTTCTGCCCCCTCTTGTTCAAATGTAATCAGCATGTCTACTTGAGTTCCTATTTATGTTCCTCAACTAGTATGTCTCCTAATGTACTTGATTAATACTAAGTCATAACTAATTATGTGTAATAGACCCATGCATGACTACTCTCATACCCTGTCCCTATGTCTTATTACTATTCTAATTTCAAGTATGATTCTTTTGTTAACACTTTGAAGTAGTAATTGTTTGTGTTCTTAAGGCCAATCAGTCCCTACTTGTTCTTTGTACTTGCTGGTATATATGCATCGCTTCTCAGCCATGTTTATGTGTTTTTGATTTGGGCCCTCTATGTCCCCAACCCCTTAATTCCCTGCTTGTGAATGTTGAGATGATATTGCTCTTTGAATTTGTTCTGTGTGTGCTGGCTTGTTCCAAGTTGTTGTTGTTCCTATCCCCTTCTCCTTTCAAAACTGTTTCCCCTAGGCAACTCTTCTGTTGTTTTGCAAAATTATTTCAAACATGTTGTTTCAAACATGCTGTTTCAAAACTGTTTTCCAACTCAACTCCTTTAAATCTATGTCAATAACTCTCACATATATTCTTAGACCACTAGGTTCTGCCTCTTTTGTGTGAGCCTTGACTTGGGACTCTTGTGCTCCCTCTGAACTTGGACACATGAAAGCTGGCCTTTCCACACTGCACTTACTCTGTCTTGGCTATGAAATCTGGGTGTGAGCACTGCCCGGGATCCCTTGAGGTCCTTAGGGAACTCTGATGCACCCAGATATGAAAAGGGTTATGGAACAATCTTGGCACTTGAGGTGGTTTATTACATAACTCAGGGAGGAAGTCCTAATTAGGCTTCCTATGGTGTAACTTCTTATTTTTCATTTCTACTTATGTAATTCATTTTAACGTTGGTCTGTAATAGCCTATTGTAAACAAGTATTGGGGTGGCTAGTGAAAAATGATGGGGTAAATATGCATGCTATAGTTGTTAAGGGTAGAAAACATGTTATTAGGATTATATTCCTAATTGTGCAATAGAAATCATGTTTAGGATTCATACATGCATTAGAAATCATGCTCTTAGGACCCATGTTTCTTGCTTTAGCATCTCATCCATCACTAATCCATGTTTTATGTCTATCACATAGAAATCCTGCTCCTAGGACAATAACAACATTGGCATAAAAGCTGTTACTCTTGTACTTTCAGAAGTCATATTTCAATAATTCTGCAACTCTTGTGCGCATTTAGAAATCATGCCTTAGGGATTCTATTTTTTTGACAATCATGCCATTTGCATGTGCATATTAGATATCATGTTCTAGGATCCTGTTTGCACTTTGTTTAAGACGTCTAGTTAATTACTGATTCATGAAAAGGTAATAAATAACAATCTCACATTGTGATGTTTTCTGAATAAAACTGGTAACAGTCTCTACACTCTCAAATTCGTATCAACATTGAGAACAACATGTTTAGGTAAAAGATGACTTCCAAACTGTTTCAACAATTCTGGTAACTGCTGCATATTATTTTACGCCTAGGCAAGTCTTAGGTAATAACTTTAAAAGAAAAACCAGAACTGTCTTTTTTAACTGCCAGCGTGTTAAAATCAGTAGGCAAGCCTGCTTCGGACTTCTTTTCTGAGTCATGCAATAAATCTAGTTCTATTGTTATCACTTAGATACCATGCTTAGAATCTGAATTCAGACCTTAACTGTGTATGAGTCGTGTTGTTTATGTGTACTGTATGTGGAGGTATATCTAAGCCTTCTATTTGTTTCCTGTTTTTCCCCCTAAAATGTAGTCCTATGTGTTCTTATTTTTCACCTAGTATTTTACCTTTAAACCTGAGGGTCTGCCTAAAACCCCCTCTTATAGGATAGGAGTCACAAATTCCTACGGGACTGATAGGAAGGGACGGGTAACAGCATGCAATAGGGGTCGGGACCAACCCTCGTTTTAATTACCTTCATGGGGCGAGAAAGGGGAGATATGGATGTGATGACCGGTGCATTAATGCCACGTGTAGCCCCTCTTTAAGGAGTGTTATACCGGGTATTGCATTGATGTGATCCATATTATAAACGAACCTAAGACCCCATTTCCATTATGCTTAGATTATAATTATTTTTCCAAAAATCTTGCTTTTCATTAATTGCTTTTCAAACATCTGTGTTCTTAAATTTAAATCCCCTACTATTTGAGCCATACTTGCTATTTGCCGATTGTACAATTTCACAAAAAAATGTTTGGCCGGGAACCATACTAGTGGATCCTGAGGGGTTCCTAACACCTTCCCCTTAGGATAATTTCAAGCCCTTACCCTATCTCTGGTTGCCGAACGTAGTTATAGATGAACCCTATAGGTACCCTAACGCACCTTAAATCGTTAGATGGTGACTCTTCAAAATTGCAAACCCTCTTTCCCAAAAGGAAAGGGTTGTCCCAAAACCAAAAATGTCATGCACTCGATTTCGCGAAGGAAAAAGGGGCCGCAACAATCCTGCAACGCCTCAGCAACATTTTTAGGTTCAATAATAGACAAGAAAGCATCAAAAGCACAAAGATTCTTTAATGAAGATCTAGTTTTAATTCTAGAGGTTGGATCAGTAATTATGTTCTGAATGGGATGAGTAGTGCGTAGTGCTCTTAATTACACTTCCAATCATCTTTGGTTGTTTGATACTTCTAATTTTTATGCTAATAGTATGCTAAATTAAACTAAGAGTGATTGCTTGCAAGGTTTTCTAAATAGTTAAAGAGGCACTAGGGAAGTGGCTTTCTCCTAGGTGAATACTTGACGGGATCTAAAGCCTAAGGCAAAGAAGTTATGTTGGGGATTGGGATATAGCCAATGCACGGAATTACTCACTCTATACCTCTCGGTAGCTTGAGTGACTTTGCCCTAATTGACTTTCTCAAGACCAATTGGGTGTCAAAATTGGGCAAGCAGTATAGGCTCAAGTTGGGTATTGCTATTTCTAGGTTTAACCCTTTAATTGGGGCTATCAATCTCTTGATTACACCCCAATTCCTTGTTGGACTGATTTTTCTAGACTCAAGCTCTCTTTCTCAAGAAGAACCCAAGTCAAACAGGCACAAATTAGTGTTTGCAACCACTAATTCAACATGAAAAACATAAATCAGTCCAAATATCAACTACCCACAAATATCTAAGCGTTAAATCAAAAGACCCATCAAATACACACACTAGGGTTGAGCCACAACCCTAGCTATGGGCCTAGCTACTCATAATAATGAAAGAAAATAGAGAAATAGATGAAGAATAACCCATAAGATGTAATTACAAACTAAGATAATGAAGATTCAGTGTTAAAGTAGCTACAAATTACTCAAAATAGAACAAAACAGCCGTTCACATGCTCTGGAGTCTAAAAGATTACAAAAGATACCCTAAAAATGTGAAAAGAAAGTATTTATACTAGGCTGAATTTTCTGGACAAAAATACCCCTGACGAGGTACCACGATCCGCATAAAATGCACCACTGACCGCGATGAGGCTTCTTGGCTTGATTATACATTCTTTGAATTTGGCCACCATGGCCGAGGTGGCTTCAACTGCGGTCTGCATTGGCTTCTATCTTCAAACTCCCAACTATCCGAACCCCTCTCTCCGCGGACCGCACAAAATGGATTGTGGCCGCGGAGAGGCTACTGCGACCGCAAGAAATCCTTCGCGGACCGCATTTCCTTAGGCTCAAAAAGTGCACCTCTCTGAATCTCCATACTGCGGACCGCACTAAATGGATTGTGGCCGCGGTAGGTTTGTTGCAGCTGTGCTTTGACTTGTTCTTGGTACTTGTGCATGTTTTACTCCTTTTTGAGCTGGTTTTGACTAGTTGTCACCTTTTTTACCAAACCCTGCAAACAAGTACAACATGTAAGCCTTTGGGACTATTTTGTATACATTTTTAATCAAAATTCAAGTAAAAAGAAGTGAAAAATGAACTAGAATCCCTAGTTATCAAAAGCCAATTGTCAGGTACAGTAACATACTTGATATGAGGGTTGTAAGGGATATTTTCCCTTTGAAACCCAATCCCATGCCTGTTTCCCCCATTGTTGGAGTACATGGCAGTGATAGCATCAGAGGACGAGGTCCATTTGAGTGATTTTTCAAGATCACTCTTTACTCTACCTAGGTCTTCCTGAAGTTGTTTGTTTTTCTCAAGCTCATTACACAGACTATACTGCACTGTCTTTAGCTCATTTTCAAGCTTAATGTGTGCCTCGCTTGCATTTTTCTTTCCTTTTTGATTATTTCCATCCCTACTTTCCATTGTAGGTTTCCAATAGTTTCCTTCAAGTCCATTACTACCACTAGAAGGTCATCTCTTTCCTGTTCTACATTTTCAATCCTTTTCTTTAAGACATTTCTTTCTTTCTTCAGGTTCTCAATTGACTCTCTTAGATCGACTGCAACTATTACTAGGTCATCTCTAGATTGTTCTGCTTCTCCTAGTTCAACTGTTAAGACATCTCTGTCATTTACAAGAATATGATAAGCATCAATTAGCACATTTTCCAAAGACATGAGTTTCTTAGGAGAATAAGATTTCAGATTTCTTTGAATATCCAGAAAATTTACCTCATCATCATTGTCATCTTCATCGTCAGACTGGGCCAACAAAGCAAAAATTGTATCATACTCAGCTGATTCACTTTCTACTGCCATCATAGAGATGTTACATGGTTTATCATCTTCTCCAGATTTGCTTGATGAATCTCCTCATGCAGCAAGAGCTTGTCTCACAACATTGTCAGCGGCATTTTTTCTATTGAAGTGTCTATCAGGAACCAGGTTCCTTTTGGCTGCTTTGTTAGAGTTGTTCTTGTATTGATCCTGCTTTAGGAGAAGGCAATCCTTGATAAAATGTTTGACCTATGTTGTTCCTTCATGACCTGTCTGCAGGGCTTCCCAAATTTCTTTGGCTGACTGACATGCCGATATTTTGTTGTATTCATCTGGTTCAATACTACATACTAGAATTTTCTTAGCACGAAAGTTCTTCTCTATGGCCTTTCTATCTGCATCGTTGAATTCTTTCCTTGTCTTGGGAATGGCTACTAGTGGGTCACCAAGGTTTTTGGTAGGAACAAATGGTCCATCACATATGACATTCCATAGCTCAGAATCTTCAACCATGATAAAGTCATACATTCTAGTTTTCCACCATTTATAATATTGTACATTGAACCTAGGTGGTCTGTAAGTAGACTAGCCTTCTTCGAAGTTTGGAGGAGCATCCATGAGGATCCTTTCTAGGTGGTAACCTGATAAAAAGAACCCGCTCTGATACTAATTTATAGAATATAAGGGTCCACCAAACTATATAGAGAACCAGGTTCTCTATCAGGTCCAACAGTACACGCACCCACAATAGTAATTAAATGGCAAGAGGAATTTTACGTTGAAAATTCCCAACTCAACGGGATTAAAAACCACGACCTACCTTTGTAGGATTTAAACTTCCCTACTGAGCAATTTTTAGATTACTCCTATGCAACCTAGGAATTAACCTCTTAATCCCTCACTAACTTGGAATACTCTATTACAAGCCACTTTGTAATAACTCTATTATAAAGACTTTACAACATGACTAACTCTAGCCAAGACTCAAACACACTGGTTTAAGGTTTACAAATGGGTTCCTATAGAATGCTTCTAAGCATGCTAGATAGGAATTACAATTAAAGAACTATTACAAAGTTACAACTCAACTTAGGGCATACAATAACTCTATGTGGGAACTGGTCTGTAGTTGTTTTGTTCTTTGTTCTTGAAGCACTTGAAACTTGCTTGCTGGATAGTCACATTAATGAGCTTGTTAAATGTTCAAGTGATTTGTTTTACCTCCCTTGCATGCATATATACATGTGTGACTTCACTTACAATGATGCAAGCAAGGTAGGTAAAAAGTCTTCCCTGGAAGGTTGACAGCAGCACTGTTCTGCACAGTAGCATGTGCAGGCAACAACATTCCAACTGGAAAGTTGACTTCGTGCAGTCTCCTCGGGAACTGGTAGGGACCTAGTCCCTCAGCTGTTCCTTCCACTTATAAAGGGTTGAATCATATTCCCCGCTAAATCCCATCTCGGGATCTTGTAATCTTGAGGTCTTGTAAATGTATGACATGTTCCTTATCTGGTTCTGGATAATAAGTTTGTTAGATCATCAAAATATAAAGTAAAGTACTTATAACCTATCAATTTTCCCCCTTTTGATGATGACAAACTTATAATTGAAAATCCTAGAGCGAACCATAAAGAACTAAATTGTGAACCAAAAGGACCTTAAGTTCCCCCTGAAGCTCTGCATTCCCCCTCAATCAGTGCAATTATTTTTTCCCTTTTTGGCATCATAAAAAGTTCAGAATCAGTTAAGTAAAAAGGATGTCTAGTTATAAGTTAACTCATGCCACATATGTGCACACAATCATGATTAAGAACAGAGCATAAAAGCATAGTACAAACATCAAGGGAAAAGCTTGCATTAACAAAGTTTTGGATTTTATAGCAGGAGCAGAATCAACAATACTACTACCACATCCACACAGTAGAACAAACAAACAAAAGTACTGCAAGATATCATCAGAAGAACTAACACGGAGAGACTGGACACTAAAGGGATAGAATCTAAAAGTCATTGGGAGGAGAAGGTTTGGAAGCAAAGGAAATTGTTTGGAGGACTAGATCCATACGAGCATTTGCTGACATTTGCTCGTTGAGAAGTCTTTCTTTCAGGTCCTCCACTTGTTTCCTGAGATCAGTGTTCTCCTTAGTCAGGCTAGCAACCTCTTCATTCTGAGAATGACTGAAATCAAGTGCCTCTTGCAGCTGACTTATCTGAGGCTCAAGGATAGCATTCCTTTCTTTCAATTTCCTTATCTCAGTAGTAGCACTGTTTTGAGCATTGATCAACTGAGAAATAGTTGAAGTGCTTGCAACCCCTCCAAATTTTTCTATATACTCACATTCTTCAAGAGTGGTTTTTGAAATTTTTTGCTTATTGGCCCATTTTAACTGGTCTGAGAGGAACATTGAAGTATTCGAAGACCTTGGTAAGAAGGAACCCATATGGCAGTCCATGATTACCATCTTTAAAATCAGCCACTTAGTTCATGTGCTCGATCATGATCCCAGCTGTAGGACCCTTACCGCTTCCATCTTCAACATCATTGGGAGTCGCCTCCCGAACATGTCGCGGGTAAAGCTTGTCGTGGACCGACGTGGCATCATTCCCCTCATTGCGGGTATCACTGATTAAATCATCGTGCTAATGCTGGTCTCTTTGGGCCTCAAGATTGTGTGTGTTGTTAACACCATTATCTGTTATTTTCTATGATTTTTGCTAAGAACAGATAATCAAAACACGTTAGTAAAAGAGGCAAGGATCAACTTAATTACACGACTATTTAGGCTCCATGGTGGGCGCCAAACTATTTACCCGTAAAACGGTACAATTGAATTTATACGTGATTTATATACAAGTGAATTAATTCGATCCTATAATAATAAAGTAATTGAATAAATATGCAATACTTAGCCTTGAGATAGAGATGAAATAGCAGAAAAAATAGTTCCGGTACCAGGGCTTCCGGGCACAACAGTAATGTAATAAAAAAGCAAGAAGATAAAATTGTACAAAGCTCTGAATAGATTATAGTGTAAGTTTGCCAGAAAAATCATGTCCCTTACAGTGATAATGGAGCTTACTATTTATAGATGCACCTAGGGAACAAGGTCCTAGTATCATGCCCCTCTTTAATGTCAATTATGAGGGCCATTGAAGAATGTGTAACGGCTAGCAAGAATGACAAATTCTTTATAACAAACAGTATATTAAATGTTGTAGAATATTCTCCATTAAATGCTACCGGATGGTAGGTATTTATTGTATCTTTATGTGCACCATTCTTTTCGATAACAGATAAAATAATTGTCTTCGATTTTAGCTATCCTCTGCCTTCGGCTCCACGTGTCACTCTCTTACGCAATTACTTAACATAACATATTTTATCCTGTACAAACATGTGATCAAACTTTATGTTACCGAGCCATTTTAACATGACAAGGTTTTCTCCAAACTTCTATCTAGGCACACTAATGAAAATTGTAATCCCCCAATTTGTAATAACATTAGTGTTTGAAATGGTTTCAAGTAGCTAATAGTTGGCACAAGTCACAAGCCACAAGACACAGGCTATTGATCCATAGACGGCTCCATTCACAACTTTGTTCTTTAGCCACAAGCCAATGGTCGTAGCTCTCTTTTGTGTAACTAATTTGAGGTTGTAATAATACAACCGTGTATCAATTGTATTAAAGGACCTATTAAGAGATAATATTCATATATAGTTGTCTTACTAGTTGTACTCATCAAAGACAAATAATATATCAGTTTCGACTAGAAATTTTAATAGCACAAATCTACTTTTAAACACAAATCAATATGGTCCCATCTGTGGCTCAACATTGTTAGCGGCCTAAAGCCAAATCTGATGAGAGGCCTTACTTTTTTAAAAAAAGAAACTTCCTAAAACCCGAAACTAGCCAAAGAACGTGCAAATTAATCAAAATATACTCAAGAATCCATAATTATATCATTTAGAAATAATTTTCAACCCCACACAAAAAGTCAAAAAAAGAAAACACAGGCTCGCGCGCTCGAATTCTGAAAGTTATCAAAAATAAAGATTACCCATAGCATCATGAACTCAAATATATAATTTATTCTCAATTCCATGTCCAATTTCGTGATCAAAATTTCTTTTTACCAAATTTTAGGTTTCTACCAAAACCCCATAATTTTTAACAAATTTCATGATTTTATAGGTCCAATATCCTGTATAATCCAAGTATTAAGCTCAAAATCAAGTTGGAATCACTTACTTTGTGTTAGATGATGAAATGACCTTCACGAATTGCCCCAAAATCGGCCCCAAATGAGAGAAATGAGATAACATAAGCTATGTCCCGAAATTTTACTTATAAATCTGCCCAGACAATACCCTTCGTGATCGCGAAGGCCAAACATAGCCATTGCCTCAAAAGGCTTTACACGAATGTGGAATAAACCTCGTGAACACGATGTACATATGTCCCTAACCTATGTGAACGCTGTCGCGCCCCCTTTTTCCCCGCCGCGCGGAAATCGGGTTTATGACATTTTTGTGTATGGGACAACTCTTTCCTTTTGGGAAAGGGGTTTGCATTTTTTGAAGAGTCGCCACCTAATGATTTTTAAGGTGTGTTAGGGAACCTATGAGGTTCATCTACAACTACGTTTGCTAACCAGAGATAGGGTAAGGGCTTGAAATTATCCTAAGGGGAAGGTGTTAGGCACCCCTCAGGATCCACTAGGGTGGTTCCCGGCCAGACAGTTTTTGTGAATTTCTGCAATTAGCAAATAGACAAGTAGGGCTCAAATCATAAGGGATTTAAGTTAAGATACACAAGAGTTTGGAAACAGTTATTGAAAGGCGAAATTTTGAAAAGAGTTACAATCTAAAGCATGCTTATGAATGTAAAGGGGTGTCCTAGGTTTGTTTGTAATATGGATCACATCAATGCAATACCCGGTACGACACTCCTCAAAAGAGGGGATACATGTGGTATTAGCGCACAGGTCATCATATCCATATCTACCCTTTCCCACCCCGTGAAGGTAATTAAGCAAAGATTGGTCTCGACTCTTATTGCATGATGTTACCCGTCCCTTCCTATCAGTCCCGGAGGAATTTAGGACTACTATTCCTATAAGGAGGGGGTTCTAGGCAGACCCTCAGGTTTAAAGGTAAAATACTAAGGCGACATACAAAAACATATAAGACTGCAATTAGGGGGAAAACATATAAGCAATTAGAAGGCTCAGTTATACCTCCACAAAGAATGCACATAGATAGCATGACTCATACATAGTTAAGGTCTGAATTTAAAAATCCTAAAGCAGGGTGTTAAAGTTGTTGAAGCAGAACCAAATTTATTACATGACTCAGATAAGAAGTCCGAATCAGGCCTGCCTGCTGGTTGTAACAGTTAATAATTAAACAAAGGCAGTTCTAATTTTATTCAGGTTATTACCTAAGGCTTGCCTAGGCGTAAAACAATGCAGTACTCAGTAGTCATTCAGGATTGCTCATACAG